CAAACTTCAGATCCACGGTCCAAATGCACCTTAAAGCCATAAAGTTTCCAACTTTATGACTTTAGACGTCTAAAAGCTCTTAATACAAGATCTTAGCCCATTAAGACCTTTCTACCAAATGCATGGGACACTTCTAGCCATTTGGGCCTCATTTTATGATTAAGGACCCCTCTAAGGGTCTGAAAGGACAGCTCAAATCATCCAGAACATGCCATGTTCAAAATGGAACATTTGGGACCAAGAAATAAGAAATAAAGAACCCAACAAGAGATCTAGCAAAACAACCCTAAAGGTTTGAGCTTTATACCTTTGGATGATGAAAAAGGAAGCCAAAACTCCAAATCCAAGCCTTCCTTCACGTTCCCAAGCTTCTTGATGCACTTCATTTGAATCTAACACACCAAAGACACAATTTAAGGCTCTCACTCTCACTCAAGGGGGCGAGGGTTTTGCAAGAACAACTGAGGGACTTGGAGGCTGAAAGGACAAGGGCACATGGTCCATAATGATGGTTAAATACTCCTCAAATCCTAAAATTTGGGGTTTCACTCGGACACTAGTACGCCCAGCATACTAGGGCGCCCCTAGTACGGTTAGCGTACCCACATGTACGCGCAGCATACATCTCCTTCCCTCAACACTACCATAATGCCACTAGGGCTCCTTAGGGCTTACTCTAAACAACTCCAATGACCAAAGTGTCACATGAAATATCAAGGAAAGGATTCGAAAATACCTGCCAATCCGGGATGTTACAAGAGCTCACACAGATCATCATTTTCTTTACCGAGCAAAGTTACATGAATTTGACATCGGTTTTATTTACTGAAACACAAATTATAAAAAAAATTGTAAATTATAATTTCGTTACCTATACCAATGACTTTTGGTCGTCATAATTTTCAGAAAACCGCAAAAATAACTTTTTGTTCCCGCCTAACATATTCAGATGATATGCCATCGGCATAGAGTTCCAGGTCAAAGATAGTTGGTAAATTCTAGTCAACTCTGTACCGACGACACTTGTCGTATGTATAGATGTCGTCGGAGCAGGTGGTAATTCTTGTAGTGAGCAAACATATATAATTATTTGATTACTTCATTAAAATGCTAATACTCAGTAAATACAATTTATATAAACTCGTAAGAGTGGTCGAATGATAGAACGGCGTGGTAATTAATTAAAATGTTTTTAAAGAGGAAATAAATAATTATGTCAGATTTTATTTATCGATCACAATTCTTCCTATCAAGATGTTGGTGATGGTTTAGACTGCTTCACATGATTTGATGTGTGGGGTGAAATAGGTTTACATATAGGGCTGTAAACGAACTGAACGTTCGACAAACCGTTCGTGAACTGTTCGGCGGGAAGTTCGTTTATATTCGTTTATTTAATAAATGAACGAACATGAACAAAAATTATCGTTCGTTTAGTTAAATGAACGAACATGAACAATGATCTCGTTCGTTCATTTATATTCGTGAACGTTCGTTTATGTTCGTTCGTTTAAGTTTATTTATATTCACATATATTCAATTATTTTTTATTATATTGTTATATTATATGTTTGTTTATGTTCATATATGTTTAATTGTGTATTTTTTTATCTTTGTTCGTTTATGTTCGTTTAGCATGTTCACGAACATAAATGAACGAACATGAACAAAGTAATTTGTTAAACGAACGAACATGAACAAGACCTTGTTCGTGTTCGTTTGGTTCATTAACAGCCCTATAATTACATACAAGCTAGGTCAATAAAATTGATCCTCGTAAAAAAAATAAGAAATAATTAAATATTAAATATTATTATATATTCCATCATCTTTTGATATTTCTCTTTGGGTTATCATCTTCCTCCCTACTTATTCCTCTATATATATGTGTGTATGTGTGTTTGTAGCTCATCCTTCAAGTATTTATACACCGATACATCCTCGTCTCTCTTTCTCTCTCTATATAGACAAACACATATTCGAGTTTTCGTCAAGATCAAGTGTAGCATATATTCTTTTACCGATTCCTATGAATTTCTATACACCATCAATATCTCTCAAAATGGCCACTTCTTCTTTTCCTGACATTTGGACTTGGATTCAAAACCTACCACCACTAACACAGTGGCAAACAAACACCAAATCCATACGCATTATTTCTTCATCTCAACCATCTGTTGAGCTCTCCATTTCCAAAACCCTAATCCACTCTTCTTCCTTCTCCTTCTCCATTCGTGTTAATTACAACTTACCCATCTCACTTTGGACCTCTAAACCACTCAAATCCGCCATTAGCAACACCTTGTTCCATGAACACACCATCTCCAAACTCTTGACCAATATCATTAAAGATATCCTCAACTACACCCCCATCAAACCCTCCAATTCTTTCCTAAAACTCCCTCAACCCAACTCGATTCCCAACCTCAAAGACATATTCAATTTCGTGTTCCTGGCGCTGGTTTTCATAGTATCGATCTATGAAGCTCCACAAGATATCCGGTGTGATTGTATAAACATGCTTAAAGATCAATTCGCGAGTTCATGGGCAAGGGAAACGTCCAAAAGGTTGATGAGGTTAATGGGGTCGAATACAGAAGAACAATGGATGAGGTCCATGAATCTTGCGATCACAAACTGGATGACAGAGCTACGAGCAAGGAATCACTGCCTGAAAGCGCCATCACCCATGTATTCTTCAGCGATTTCAGGATTAGGGTTATGGAAAGTTCAGCTGTATTGTCCAGTGATTGCTATGGAGATTGAGAAGTGTAATAGTCCTGGACAAGAAGATCAAAAACTTGGTTTTTCTTTAAATTATCATCAGGTTGAAGGGGTGATCCAACTGAATCATCAAGTGATGATTCGAGAGGAATGGATTGATGTTTTGGTTAGCATCGATAACGTGAGGTATGGATGTTTTCTATTTATATACACGTTTTATTTTAGTGGGTACTTATACATATTTAATTTAAGGTTCTTAAAACTATTCCCTAGCTACTGTCGTTTTCGTCAAACTCCTTTTAACATATAACTCAACAAAATATATAATATGATTTTGATAGTATAACTGTGTCGAACAACTCTTTTAGTAAGTTAAAACCATATGATTAATTTATGTATATGATAAATAGATAAAAGAAAATATAAACGATAATTCATAAGTTGTTTAGCCCTTAAGTTGTGTTTTTTTTTTAATCTTGTTTAGTACTCTTAAAGATTGAAAAAAGGACCAGAACTTTTACTTCCTTTTTTTCGATTCTTTTTGTATTACACTTTAAATATTTATGTTGTTTTATATATAAACTATCTATAAATATTCAACTACTTCTAAGAAGTATAAAGATAAATATAAATAGTAAGAAATGTCAATACAACATGCAAACATAGTTCTCACATTTCATACTTAAAAACTAAACACCCCTTTATCCATGAAAGGAATTTAAATATTTAATGACCTTGACTGGTTTATTGCTTGAAAGAAAAGGACATCGTTACTGAATGTAGGCATGTGGTCAAGACCTGTACGTATTCTTTTGACCCCACCACCATTTGAGTTCCTTTTAGGAAAAGAGTTCATAGAGATTCTTCCAAAAAAGCAACCAGGATTAGGATTTTAATCAAGATAATTATCGAATCATTTCTTTTAATTTAAGATAAAATTACATAATTAGTTTATATGGTTTCTCAATATGTCTATGCACCTGTCCTTGTAATTAAATTTCTTGGATGGTAATTGGTACCTATGATTTTATTTTATTTCAAAAATAAATATGAACTTATTATCTCACATCTAACTTGATCTTTCTATTATTTTTTCTTTTTTAATTTAATTTAATATTTAAAAATTAGAAAATTGTCACCCACAACCCTAAAGCCATTATTCCTACCATAAAAGAATCAGGTCCTTTAAATTTAAAATACTAGGTGGGTTTCATAAACCCAAATCCTAAGCCCACCCATCACTTTCATTTTCCAGCCAAACACCATTGTCCGCCGTCATTGAACGCACAACTGAACTCGAATCAAATCCTAAGTCTGATAACACAGAGGGATGGGGATCAGCTCTATTTTCTTTTCTTTTTTAATTGAAAATGATTAAAAATCTGTAAAATAAATTAAAAAGGATACAATAGTAAATTTACATGGTAAAAACCAATCCCGCAAGAAATAACCACAAGAACAAACATGCTAACTTTGGCAAAGCTCAAGGATCAACCGTATAATTTTATACTACATAATTTTTAACACGAAAAGCAATAGATTTATATTTGCTAATGGGTACTAATCTCAATTTATTACTATTAAATTAAACAGATGTGACGTGGTAAGGCTCGTGAACGACACGCTCCTAAAAGAGCGTGGGGCAGGAATCGACGAAAAGCACTTCCCATCACGCATATCCCTACATCTCACACCCACCACCCAAACAAACGTCTTAAGCGTTTCCGTTAGCCGATCATCTGAGAACCCTTCACGAGAAATCGGCGTCGAGAGATCCATCGAAGGCTCATTCGAACCACCAAATCCTCACATCGGAATATCCGTTTCCGCCGGTGAAACCGTCACCACCAACCTCAAGCCATGGAAATTCGAGCAATCAGTCTACGGCTACAGCGGCACTTTCAACTGGTTCCTTCACGACAGCGTTAATGGACGAGAAGTTTTCTCATCGAAGCCTTCAAAGATCGCGATGCTTCAACCAAAAGCATGGTTCAGAAACCGGTATTCCAGCGCTTACCGTCCGTTTACCAGGCAGGGAGGAGTTATTTTCGCCGGCGATGAGTACGGAGAAAGTGTGTTGTGGAAGGTGGGGAAAGGCGCGATTGGGGAAACGATGGAGTGGGAAGCTAAAGGCTCGATTTGGTTGACTTATTGGCCTAACAAATACAACACTTTCTATACTGAAACTAGAAGGTTGGAGTTCAGCGAAATTCTCCAACTTACACTCTAGCTTGAATCTGAATCCTAAATTCAGTAATTGTTCAATGTAAATTATCTACACGAATAATAGTGTGACATCAATGGCTGTATAATAATAATAATTAATAAAACAAAACATACATTTTCACAGTTTTTCCCGATGTCGAGGTAGCCATGCAAAACGATCACTAACCAATCCAGATTAGACACGTGTGAAGTAGGAACAAAAATCAACAACACTATATCTCTAATATCTCACTATTTTGTTCATCAAACTCAAATTCACATCACAATCGCTGAAAAATGACTTCTTTTCCCAATTGCTTTTACATCACAAACCTCCCAACCACTTCCTTCTTTATAACATTCCACCTGCCAAAAAAAATGGTCAAAACACAAATGACAAAAACAGTTAGGAAAAGAGTCAAAGACATGGTTACATATATATATACATACAATCTCCAAAATTTTATTGTTGTCGGTGGATCCTCCAATTGCGAACAGTTTTTCTCCAATCACAAAAGCCCCAAAATTGCCTCTACAAACATTCATCGGTGCACACTCCACCCAACAACCCATTCGAGTATCAAAACATTCAACTGTCTGTAAATACTTTTCTCCATCATATCCTCCAACCGTGTATCTATTACATATATATACATCAACAAAAGGTTACATGAATTTATAAGCAAAATTCAAAAGAGAACACAAAGTTATAATAAACTTACAGTTTGTCATTGAGTACAACCATGGAATGGCAACCCTTCCTTTTGTTCATATCCGGAAGTGCTGACCACTTTTCTTCACGCGGATCAAGCCTTTCAACAGAACTACATCACACAAAACAGTTTTACCAATTAGCATCCTCTTAATTAATTAATTAATTATATTTTGTTTGTTACCTTGAATAAGATTGTCCATCAAACCCACCAGTAACATACAGAGCATTGTTGAGTTCTACTGCAGCTGGACCAGACCTCTAGAAAAAAACAATAAATTTTAAAATAAAACTTGGAAGTGGCATTTTTGTAAATATGAAATACCTACCTTGCTGTTCATGGAATGAACAGGGAGCCATTTCCCATAGCTGAGATCCAGATATTCCACCTCAGATGAAAAATGGCTTTCTTTGTTCCCACCAGCCACAAAGAGTTTGTTGTTGACTGAAGCACCAGCAACATGGATGTTGCTCCAATACAAAGGTGGTCTTAAAACCCACTGATTACTTGTTGGGCTGTATGATTCAACTATACCAAAAAAAAAAAAAAAAAACATTATCATTACATGATGGTGGTTATAAATGAATTTTAATTAAAGTGGTTATTATTTATTAGAATAATTACCGATAGGATTTATGCCACCAAAATGGTAAAGTTCACCATTCATGGTTGCTGCTGAGCCGTATTTCTTTACAACATTCATTGGGGTGAGTGGGATTCTAATATCATAACATGGGGAATATGAATCCAGACATGGCAACCATAAACAACCATCAAATCCCCCAACAATCATCACCGATTTCAGAATGTTTGAATCATTCTTGCTTTCTTCAACAGATCCAGATTCCAAAACATCAATCCTGTTTTTAAGCTGCTGGGTTTCTCGTTTTGATTTATCCTGAGTAGCCAAATCACATAAAGTTATAGATATACAACAAATAAAATACGTAAGAATTTTTTTATAATTGTTATGTACCAGTTCTTGTTCTAGCTGATTGATGTTTGTGACTTGCTTCAAATGTGATTCCTTCAGCTCTTCAACTTCTTTCAATAGCTTTATGAAATAAAAATATAAGCTTGATTAGACTATAACATATGAAACGAATAAAAGAAAACATAGAAAATGTGAATATTGTTTTTACCTTGGCAACCAATGACTCGAGATTAGTAGAACAATTCTCTAAAGCTGTAACTGGCACTAAAGAGTTGTCTTTTACATCATTTTCTTCTACATTGGTCTCATTTTCCTTACTACACAATTGCAGCTGGTGATCAAGATTTTCATCTAACAATTGAGATGAAGAAGATGGCAAATCGTCTTTGTTGGTGTTTGCATCAGGAGGATTCAACTCTGATACAAAAGTAGTCTGGACATACTGAGCTTCATCTATGGCAGTGTGAGTGAGCTTGGTTTCTTCCCAACTGTTTGTTGACAACACTTCATCTTCTTCATTTTGCCACTCATCTTTAATGGTTTTTCCTTCATAACCCCAATCTGATTCATGCGTCTCAACACACCCAACATCATCATCCCAAGTGTTTGCATGCGTAACATTACTCTTATCTTCATCCTTTGGCCACTCATCATGGTTTCTTGCAACCACATTATCACTCTCACCTTCATTTTCAAAACTTGCTTCAGCTTTAAACAGTGCACTCCATGTTGAACTGGTAGGGATGGGAGTAGCATGTTGGCCAACAACAGAAGCATAAGAAGATCCCGAGGTCTGATTCATGTTCTTAAAACTGTTTGGCTGTCTTAATGGGAAGCTACTTCGTGTAGCAATCTGTGAAGAAGAAGGATTCACAGGAGATGGTGTAAATAGTGACATCAGCTTCTTTGTTTGATGATGATCCAACTCAAAGTAGAAGTGTTTGTCTTCATAGTAGTTATCAGCTATAACTGGCTTAAACTGGTTTTCAGACAACGGATGACATTGTTGTCTTACACGAACACGGACCTGAAATACAATCACATAAGTTTAAGTATCAGTATGTATGTATGTATGTATGTATTCAGACACTATGTGTTGAGTCATTCACACAAAAGGGAAAATGATACCTGTGCTGGATATTGTGTGTATCCACAATCCTCTGTATCAGCAACCCATGCATATCTATTGATGTTCATTGAACCAGGACTTGCAGCTTCATATACTCCATGAAGCTTTCGATCACTATAGTTGAACAGAAATAGAACAAGACCTTCCTTTATGTTTTTAATGTATGAGAAATGGGTGGCTGGCAAACCTGTAAAACAAAGGTGACAGACATTTACATTATGAGAGTTCTTCATGACCAAAATATGAAGTTTAGGATCTGAATGTAGAAAGAAAGAAGGGAATGAGATTTGTGGAAAATAGTGAACTAACCAAACAAGTGATTTGTAAGGCATTCGTTGATTGTATTGTGTTTGCAACCAAATATTACAGAACCGAGATCATCTTTTCTAAGATTTCTTGCAGGTACGCTGTAATTTGAAAATGTGGAAGATTCTTTCATCTCCTTCTCAAGAATTTTCTTCTTATTTTGCTTCTTACCTCCCATTCTGCAAGATAAATGTATTTACATTCTTTGTGTATTGTCTCTTTCACCTTAAGGTTTTGGGAAATTACAGATTCAAATCAAAACCTTCATTCGCAATTGCACACTAATTCTATATATACCGGAATAAATGATCGTTAACTACAACAGTACTAGTATCGTTTATCAACTATGAATTCACAAAAAATCCCCATCTTCACAGATCACACACAGATATGAAATATCGTCTACATAACTTTGAATCTTAACAAATATTGTCATTCTCCTGAAAATGTTCATACAAGAAACTAAAAAAAAAATTAAAAAAAAAAAAAGCAGAGAAGCAAACTTAGGCATCGATAACCGAGAATCGAAGCCGTACATTCGATTTAGTTCCAAAATGAAAATGTTCAAAAAATTACTAAGAACATGATCGTACTTTTTACAAACGCACTAAATCATCTGCTGAAAATTTTCTCAGGAAGCAGAGGGAGAAAACCCTTACCTGCTTCAACGGCGGAACCTTTGGCCGATAGCCCCGATCAACAAAAGGTAGCTGTCAGATCACCAAAACTGAGAAACACATTGCGAAATATATGAATAGACTGCGAAGATGGAGAAATACCTGCGTTCTTGAGGGTGTGGAGAGTGTAGAATGTGATACTAAAAAGCGTATCTGAAACGACGGCACTCACTAAGAAGAAGAGAAGAGAAGAAAACGGCAAGCAAGATCAACGGAAAATGATGAGGAAGACAAAGAATCAGAGTTGGCTGATGTTTTTTCAAAGAAGAGAGGAGGTTGGCGATAAACCTTCAAAATGTGTCCACCATGCCCATGGAATGGAGACAACTATTGACTGGCTACCGGATTGACCGGTTTTGACGGTGATAAAAAGGTGAAAAGGGCCAGGACACGTCTAACTATTTTGGTACAATATTTGGGATTTCCTTCAAATTTTACCATTTATCTATGTTTGTTGATTTCTTTATAAATTGTTTGAATAATAAATTAGTTACCATTTTGACCTCAAAGGGTTTTCTTTGACATTATTAGAAAAAGAAATATTTCACTTTATTACTACCTAAAAGTATTTTAAGGGTATTTTAAATAACATGAAATACGTCACCTCGAAAACAGAAAATAATTCAGACACATTCTTTTGTGTGAAAGGTTTTCTATTTTGGGGTTCAAATTTTACAATTGGTATACTGGTTAAGAAGCCAATAAAAGAAAACTTATATATATATATATATGACAAAATTGCAAAAATGGTCCCTGTGGTTGTCAAAATTCTGCAGTTTTGGTCCAAAAAAGTTTAGCGGTGCATCAGTGGTCCAATTTCGAATACCTTATGCAGTTTTGGTCCCTATAGTTGGAATTGTTGTGTGTTTTTGGTCCAAACCCAACATGAAATGACGAATATGCCCTTTGATAATTCTTTTTTATTTATTTTTAATTTTTTATTACTATTTTAATTAAAAAAATAAATTAAAAGATTAAAATAAAATAACTCTACCCCCCCCCTCTCTCTCTCTCACTCTCTCTCTCTCTCTCTCTCTCGGTAGCCATTCTCCAAACACCACCACTCAGTTTTGATTTAGGGATTTTGAAGATTGCTTCCAAAATTTTAACAAAGAACCACCGATGGACCTCCCGATTTCCTCCTTGAAAACCACTATTCTCATCACAGTAACCAGAAAACACCACAACCGGGACCATCCTTCTTTCTTCATCTCCAGAAAACACCACCAACGGAAACCTTCTTCATTCATCGGTGGTCCCGATCTATATTTTTTAGGGCTATGGTTTCCTTGTGGTGACAAATGGTGATGGTATGCGACAACAATGGTGGTGGTCAGATCCATTGTGCAGAAGTTCAGTCAAACACAGTAGAGCACCAGAAATTAACTTGAGAAGGTGAACGAGACGGAGCCCCCTATAGAAGAAGAGAAGAACGGTCATACACAAGCCCTAATTTTCAAAAACTAGTTCAGGAGGACTTGGAAGAAGCTCCAACGGAGGATGATGTTGATGGTGGCTTTAAAGAGCGTGATTTTAGAGAAACTCCACCATTTTCGTCCATTAGAAGCCATGTTTCGATGAGTGGTCATAAGATATAGGAGAATGAGAACCAGAGGAGAACAGTGGAGGAGGGAGAAGTGACGAAGATGCTGGTAGTTGACAATGACGAAGGAGTTTGGTGTTTGTCTTCAGAAAATGGAAAAGGGGAACAGAAAGAAGAAGAAGGAGAAGAAGAAAAGGAAGAGGACGATTATACGGGTTGTGTTGGAGTTCAGGTGCTCGCCGGAGTTTTGGTGTTCGTTGGATGTCTTGGTTTTGGATGAAACTCACACTTCCTGTTATGATTTCCGGTGAAAAAATAACATTCCCCCGTAAAGAAGTCTCCTACGTTTTCGGCGAAAATGGTGGGCGTCGGAGGTGGTTTCAGGCGAAACGGCAGCCACCGATGGTGGTTCTGGACAAAAGAGGGTTGCACCGGTTATGGAGGTGGAGTTGGTGATGAATGGGTTTTATGATAAAGATGGAAGAGTAGTGGGTTATATATTTATTTATTTATTTATTTTGTTTTAAGATGAAAAAAAATATATAAATTAAACTAATTAAAGTATTACAAAAAATAGAAAAAATAAATTATAAGGGTATAAAAGTAATTTCAAGTGTATAGGGACCAAAATCACTAAAAAGATTCAAAATTGGACCACTGGTGCACCACCAAACTTTTTTGAACCAAAACTGCATAATTTTGACAACCACAGGGACCATTTTTGCAATTTTATCTATATATATATATATATATATATATATATATATATATATATATATATATATATATATATATATATATATATATATATATATATAAGATTCATAGGTCTTTAGACATTTATTCATATTTAAATAGTTCATTAAAATAAACAAATAGTTGTGTATATATTAGAAAACGTCATTATACATACAATTACTTTTTTCGTGCATGATTTAAAGAAAAAACATTTCTATTAACAAAAGGCAAACTTATACCAAAATAGATCAAAACCAATGTGCCACAAAACAATAATCTAGATTTATGGATAATCGTTAAATTTTGATTGGGCATTGCATCTCATTTTTTGTATGGTGTGAATCAAAATAAGAACCAAGGAATATTTGACAACTGGGAGCTTGTAAATGAGTACGAGTTATATCAAAAAATCAGTGGCATCTTTATTGGTTGCATTACGTACTTTTAAAAGAAAATTTATACAAAAGGTATACATAGTGTAATTTGTATTTAATAAGATTTAGGGTATTATAGTAGGTCATATTAAGGGAAAATGATTTATAAGGGTAAGAAAGTTTCAAAAACGTTTAAAAAATACCATCGAAGTTTTCGATGTTCAAAAAATACCATCCAACTATAGGCATCGTTCAAAAAATACCAACAAATATTATCTTTTGTTCAAATCTGACCCGGTGGTAACCGGATCTGTCAGGTGAATGGCTGAGTTGGCAAAGTAATGTTTGAGTTGGCATATTTAGGCAGTGTGTTGGCACATCTACTCAGCATTAAATGAAAATTACATTTTATAAATTGATTTAGGGCATCAGGTGCTCATACAGCTCCTCTCCTCTTAAACAATCAATTTCTTCAACTCTAATGGCATCTTCCTGTAAATCGTTCAACTCCAACTAAAGCTCAAAAATTTCCAAGAAAAATAGCACAATTGATAAAGCAAATCCTTGTGATTGTGGATACCCTTCTGGATAAGGCAAATCCTTATGTAAACAAGTTAAGAAAGAATTTATGTAAACAAGCTAAGAAATTATCTTTTCATTTAAAATAATGTTACCTTGAATCTAAAGGAATCACAACAGATGGGCAATTTGGTCACGGTTAAAGGAATCACAATTGAGTGCAAAGGCTGTTTTGGACGGTTTTGGGTGTAGGTCCTGTTTTGGTGTTGTTATAAGCAAATGCTATTTAGATTCCTTATTAACCTATTTTTGTTGGTTGATAAAGTTTGCTACTAGAAATGACAAAGTTTAGTCCCTACAAGTGAAGATTTGCTTTTGGAAATGACAAAGAACTATTTGCATCCCTGCAAGTGAAGACTCCTTATTAACCTCTTTTTTCTGCAATATTATCATGCATAATCACATAACAGCAACAACAATAGTAGGGGCAATTTGATCAAAACTGTTAAAATAGTTGGTTTTTATAAATAATAATAATAAAAAAAAATAGTATGTAGGGGTATTTTTGTCAATAACGGGGCCGTTTGGTAAAAATAATGTTAAGATAATCTTGTTTATTAGCAATTGCCTACCAGAATAAGATGCCAAATTGCTAACAACATCAAGGACAATTTTTGTCATGATTTTTTGAAATATTATCATGTATGTTCGCGTAACAACAACAACAACAGCGGAAATTTGGTCATGATTTTCTGAATTATTATAATGTATTATTTATTTTTAAAATGAATTATAAGGACAAATATTATTTTTCAAAATGATTTTCTGAATTATTATCATGTACACTATGAAGCTTAATAAAATGAACCGTTAGTTATCTTGGAAAAAGATTTTTTTTTTTCATTTTCAATATTGTTGTACTAAGGTTAGATGATACCAATTAAAATCCAAGAGAGAATCTCATCCACTATATGAATACATGAGGTCAGGTGGTGAAATATTAACAAAAACCCCTTTAATTAGTTCAGATGATCTGAGATGATACCAAAACTCACAAATAACTAGCTAGATATCATCTTACAATTAAACAACATCATCAGATTAAAATTACAAGTTTATCTTGACGAAATAGAGGTGCTAATCAGATAATTACAAGAAAAACACAATCTTTTATATATGGCCAATTTCCTAAGCAAAATCTTTTGTTAATCAATAAAAAATGTATCGATGGTAGTATTGATTGATTCATGCTTTGCAGTGTACGTAACACGCGTGTTTTTGGGCTTGTCATTAATAGCGATGTAATAGTCTAGGTTAATCTTTGTAA